ATAAAACTTGCTCGATAGCCACGCTAACGCTAGTTTCATCGGCTGAAGCCGCCATGTTCTTTAGACTGAACTGTCACGCTTCTCGTTGCGTTACACCTATACGGTCAGTTGGTGAACTGCTCCAAATTTTCTGTAACAGAGAGTAGCCAGACCGATCTGCGAGTGAATCCTTGAAAGCTTGCGAGATCAGGATGGTCTCACGAGGCTACTTGTTCTGATGCCAGTTTGTTTCAGTCTTTATCCAGCCTCATGTAGAAGGACTGGTCATATCACAGGTTATTAGCATTACAACAAGGACACTTAGCAAGGTGGAGTGAATACACAAACTTGATGAGAGGAGGTGGGGCTGAACCGAAATTCTCTGGGACTTCAAGTGTTAAACTAATCATTCGTTATTTCAACAATTAAAATGTGAAAATGTCACATTTCTAATAATTTTTCAGTGACTGGAACGTGTTGCGTTTGTCATTTTAGTGGATGGGAAGTGGCAGCCTTGGTCCTTGTGGTCCGGCTGCTCCAAAACGTGTGGAGGGGGGAGTCAGCAGAGAACCAGGATTTGCTATGGGCCCTTCTTTGGAGGACAGCCATGTCCTGGAGAGCGAGAAGAGATCCGTCACTGCAATGAGAAGAAATGCCCAGGTGAGTGAGGAGGAAAGCTAAACCCACAGGGTGTAGGAGGGTCCTCCATCTCTTCCTAGACTCCTTTGGTTTCTACTTGTGTGTTGTCCACAGAACCTCATGAAATATGTGGCGAGGACAATTTCTCCAACGTTGTATGGAAGATGACTCCTGCTGGAGATACGGCTGCTGTTCGCTGTCCTCCCAATGCCATGGGTGAGCTCCTACGCTTCATGATTTCACAGAAGCCTGATCATATGAAGCGATCTAGTCCTCAGAGGAACCTTTGTGTCCCCACACAGGGCTCATCCTGCGCCGCTGCTCCTTGGATGAGGAGGGCATCGCCTACTGGGAAACACCCACCTATATGAAATGCATTTCCAATGACTATCGCAGTATTCAAACCTTAGTAAGCAGCATTGTTCTTTTCCTTTCATGCTCCATGAAAATATGTTTATTAATTATTCGCAGGCTGTATCCTTGAACAGGTCCTTTTAGGCCTAGCAATACGTCTAACCTGATGGGCTTTATTAGTAGATAATGGAATCTATGAAACCAAGGAAATCTGTTGTTTGCTTTCAGGAAGAGGAACAACTTTTTCATCATTTCAAATTGTGTGAAACTATTCCATTTTTTATTTCTCCTCATNTGTGAAACTATTCCATTTTTTTATTTCTCCTCATTGGAACATGATGAAACATCAGAAATGTTCCAAAAAAGTTTGAAGACGCTTCTCTTCCCACCCAGGAAGCTTTTTCAATTCAAAATGTCAGAAATAGCGTTGAGTTCCAGGCTTTATAGAGTGGACCAAAAATAAAGCCTTGTTTTAGTTTAGAAAACATGCAAATTGAAATGGATGAACAAGTCCCACCCTTTGGGATGGAGGTCTTTTGGCTTCTTTGTTTGCCTGCAGTGCCCCATACCTGTCTATGTCTCTGAAAGGGGGGTCGTTAAAGGGAATTGTTGGCCTGGTTGAATAGATGAGGTCTTCATCAGGAACATTTTAAAAGTTTAAAACTTTGTGTACAGTTATGCTTTGATCAGTTTTAAGAGTTTTTAGTTTTTCTGTAGACATCCGTCCCATTTACTCTAGAATTGTCCGAGTATGGTAACCATGGTAACCGTTGAGTATAAATGGAACTCAACTGAACTGGACCGTGCAAGACACATCAATCCCACAATCTAGTTCAACAGGCTGGGCTCATGAGCAGACTGCCTCGTCTCCTATTTACAGTAAGCTGAATCATTTAGTGGGGTTTCCAGCATGTCCGACTTTGTAATTCACAGATCTCTTCACTTGTTCACAACTCTTCTCAGCCTTTTAACAATAAAAGGCATCTAAAAAGCATGGGGCGACCTGGGATGATGCTGAGACCAAGGCTCCATTGAAATTTGAGCGGAGGACGTTATCCAGGCACATAAGTTCCTGAATGTTATGGACGCTGCCGTGTTTGTATTGCGTAATTCCTGCCTTGAGAGCTGTAGTATCGTGGATCGCCGATAGGAGGCGAACTGTGCTAGCCTGATGTGTAAATGGTCGTAAGAACCGAGCTTGGCACGGTTAAGCCAGGCATACACTGTGTGATATTTTCAATCATTGCACGCAGCTACAGCTCAAACTGTGCAATCAAATTGCAGGCTTTAAAAGTTCACAGCTCACGATGTTGGTTCTTTCACTGAACGGCCCGACGCTCTGATGCAATCTACCTGCTCACACTCTACGTTCAGAAACCACACATAAGACTCAGTGCAGAGAGATGGCACTGGTTGGACTTATCAATCTGGAAGAAGACGAAGAAAAACTACTCCCTTGTTTGCAGATGTGCAGTGCACGAGGTTGGGCTGAGGCCTAAGGTTGGCCCATCTGCGGTAGCCAGGGCTGAGGTTGGCCCGTCTGCGGCTGCCAGGGCTGAGGTTGGCCCGTCTGCGGCTGCCAGGGCTGAGGTTGGCCCGTCTGCGGTAGCCGGGGCTGAGGTTGGCCCGTCTGCGGTAGCCACGGCTGAGGTTGGCCCGTCTGCGGTAGCCACGGCTGAGGTTGGCCCGTCTGCGGTAGCCGGGGCTAAGGTTGGCCCGTCTGCGGCAGCCGGGGCTAAGGCTGGCCCGTCTGCGGCAGACAGGGCTAAGGTTGGCCCGTCTGCGGTAGCCGGGGCTGAGGTTGGCCCGTCTGCGGCAGCCAGGGCTAAGGTTGGCCCGTCTGCGGTAGCCGGGGCTGAGGTTGGCCCGTCTGCGGCAGCCAGGGCTAAGGTTGGCCCGTCTGCGGTA